CGTGAGGAAGAGCTGCCTGGAATGGGGGCTGGGCCCAGCGAGCGGCGGCCCCTGTCCGCCGTGCGGTTTGTTGGGGCCGGGGCCGACCTTCAGGTGCCTGCTAAAACTTGAGATCGTTAGCGGGAGTCGTAATGCGTTCCGCATCCCTTCAGTAAGCGTGCTGCGCGCTGCCGAGCGGTGCGATCGCAGCGCCGTGACATCAGCGCGGCGGTCCGGAGCGAGCGCTGCCCGGCCGCAGCTTCAGCCCGGGCGTTTCTGCCGCTCTGCGTTTGTTTGCGGCTGTCCCACCTGCCGGCGTTATGGTTCTGGTTCCCTCTTGTTTGTAATGCTCTGACGTTAAACGTAAGCGAATAAAAGAAGCTTCGTTCATTATCTGTGTTAACGGTTAATACGTGCCCCAGGCAAGCCGTAGCGTTGGCTGCCCCTCCGCCCCGCAGCTGCTTCGCGGCTGCTGTGCAACCCGATGTCTGCCAGCATCTCAGGCTGTAGAAGTGTATCTTTTATAAAAGAACCTATGAAAAAAAAGCTTTCTGTTTTAATATGTCTTTCCAACAGCAACTTTTGCTGAGGAGTGTTTTGACCCATACTGATGGCTTAAAAGTGTGTTACTGTAGAAAAACGTGTATGTGTTTGTATGATGAAGGGATAAGGATGGAGAAAATGAAATGCCACTGACTGATTTTGTTCTTTAAGAGATATTCAGGTTTGTCACAGTGAGTTTTCAAAGTGGAGGCTTATTTCAGTTGGTGCTGGCTGGCCCTTCTCCACGGCTAATGGGAAGCAGTACACCAGCCTTCATTTGTGGTGGCTGTTTTTTTTGTTGTTGTTGTTTATTCATTTCTTTGCATTCACTTTACCAACAGAAATGAAACACTTGCAGAATGTTTATGTTTTTATTCCAATATAGACTGTGGGGTGACCATGGACAAGAAGCTTTAGAGTCAGCCCATGTTTGTGTGATAAACGCAACGGCCACAGGAACTGAAATACTCAAGAATCTAGTGCTACCTGGTGAGTAAGTAGCAGCTGTGTGCGTGCTTAGTGATGTGGCTGGTAGGTTCACGTAACATCTAGTTAGTCACGCTTTTTTTTTTCCCACCAAGGTATTGGTTCATTTACAATTGTGGATGGGAATCAGGTCTCTGGAGAAGACGTTGGAAATAAGTAGGTTTGTTACTGTTTGTGTGCAAATGAGGGACATATGGGATTTCATAAGTTTTTCCATCCTTGTGCTCTTTAAATTATACGAAATTATTCATGTTGTTAAGCCTGTGTGTTTTTCTCCAAGTCTTCTATGGCTTCCAATGTTTGTGACAAATACGCGATCAGCACTTTGATATTTACTGCTAAACTTCTTTCCTTTAGTTGCTGTTTTCATACCTATTTTCTTCATACGTTGGGTTTATAAAGGCAATGGTATGCTCACTACAGAAATATTTGTAAATAACTTGCTAGCTGTTGCTAAGAAATGAATAAGATTTGCTTTCACCTCAGCGTGGTTGAGGTTATCTTCTGCAGTGCCATAGTAATTTGGTTGACAAAATGTATTTTCATTAGCTTGCTGTAGTGAAACCATGACTGGTAATCCTTCGTTAGGTTTCATAGCTCCAAAGGTATGCAGCTGGGGGGTAGGATAAGGAATCTGCAGATCATTCCTACCAAAAATAATCTGTCTTTACTAATTGTGTCTCTTATAGTTCAGGCAGATAGCTACACATAGCTGACTTTCTAAGGGGTTGCTTGTGGGGTAAGGATATTCTGTTACATGAAGAAATAAGTACTGATGAGTCTTTAATGAGCCTAGTGAAAATGAATCTGCAGTATGATCCTGGCTTCTGGGGGGGTTTGGCTTGTCTTATTTTTCAGATTGGTGGCCAGGCAGTGAAAATTTTCCTTAAGAAGCTGATCATGAGGAAAATAAAACAAAGGCAGTGAGGAGAGAAGCAGACTTCAATGGGAGCTTCGTTTGTGAGAGTGAACAACATATTTTGCCGTACAGAAGGGGGCTTTTAATATTATTTTTCTTTGAAACACAAATTCACGTGTTGTGTTTTTTTTCTTGTCTCCTTTTCAGTTTCTTTCTTCAAAAAAGCCACATTGGTCAGGTAAGGATGTAACTTTCAATGTTTAAAAATGTCTCGAAGTCTATTGGAAGAATGAATGTATTGAGTAAGTACTCCTAACTCTAGATCTGAGTAATTCCCAAAACGTACATATTAGCTTAAAAAACTCTGTATGATAAAATTCCCTGTGCTTGTTTTTGAGTTCTTCATAAGTGAGAAGATAAACTCAGTTCTGGAAAGATTGAATGAAGAAAACAAGATCTGGTTGAGAATGTCTTTGGAACTTTAAGGCGGAAGAGAATTGTGGTTGAAGGAGTAATGCTTAGAGCAGAGGGTGGGGGGGTTGAAACCAGCGGATCAGGAGAGTACAAAAAAGCTTTGAGTAACTCCAAAAATGCTCCAACAAACCTGGAAGTTCATAAGTAGCTTTGCAGTTGTTTTGTTTTCGAAATATCACTGACACTGGTGCCAAACAAGTGTATACTGTTATGGCTAGTGTATTTTTTTCTCCAGATAAACAAAGCTTGGAATATCTCAGTTTATGAAGAAATCTCTTTACCGTGTAGCAAGTGTAGTATTTATGTACTACATAAGTGGCATTTCTAACAGCTAAACCTTGTTTTCGTTGCTCCGGAACAGAGTCGTGCCCAGAGCGCTACTGAGCTTCTGCAAGAATTGAATAGTGATGTTTCTGGAAACTTTGTGGAAGAGGTTTGTTTTTCTTTTTCTTCCCAATTATTTGTGGATTTAATCTTTTCTTAGATGCTACAGCATTATGACTGTGAAATATTAACTAGCTGTTGCCTATACAGTGTGTAGTTTAAGTAGGTTCACGATAAAGAGTTACGAAGAAGGTCTTACATTTCTGAAATTAGATCTGTGTATTTGAGCATTATTTTGTAATTTCATCACCACTTCGTAGTGTTTGCTTAATGTCTTATATTAAAAGTTGAAAATACTTTGTTACCAGAAATTTTTATCATGTTTTGTGACAGTTTTTTTTTCTACTACTTAGAGTCCAGAAAACCTTCTAGACAATGATCCTTCCTTCTTTAATCGATTTAACTTAGTGGTTGCAACACAACTGTCAGAAAGGTAAAGAATCATCTGAAGTCGTTAATACTCAGCCCTCCCACCCCTCTTGCTTACCAGAAAGTGGTAGAAGTTATGCATGTCTGTAGGAGAAGTCTTTTCCACTATTCATTGACTTTTTTTTTTTTTTTTTCTTGATTAATCTTCAGAGCATTTGTGACAGTGGAGTTAAAAATAAATAAGACAATGGATAAACATATTATCAGGCTATGATAAATTCCTGCGTGAAATCCCTTTCTGTAAGGGAATGAATTACGTGTGTTAGAATCATGATGGTGGAATTCTCATAGAAAGCTTTTGACGTATGTAGCTTGTGCAAGAGTTGACTTCATAGTTAACTGTTGTTCTCTGGTGTATCTGAAAAACAAATTGTCTTTTTCCTTACAGTACAGTGCTACGCTTAGCTGAACTCCTCTGGAATTTTAACATTCCTTTGCTGATCTGTAGGACTTATGGACTGGTTGGTTATATGAGAGTCATCATCAAAGAACATCCAGGTTAGAGAATTGGGATTTTTTTGAGATTGTTTTTCATATGTAAGGTCAAAAACTTGTGAGATATTCAGCATTTCTTTAAGTTTCACATGGTTTGCAATTCCTCACCAGTATACTATGGAAAAATTCATCGGAACTATGGACTGCAATAGATAGGTTTCAATTACATTAAAATTAATGTACACAAAACACTTTGAGAATCAAGCAGCTAACCAGCAGGTGATGCACTGCATTTGATGTATAGGTTTGTGTTGAAGGTCGGGCATAAAACAATGAAATACATCATGTAACTTCTTTTACAGTTGTTGAATCTCATCCTGACAATGCATTAGAAGATCTGAGGCTGGACAAGCCTTTTCCAGAACTGACAGAGCACATTCAGTCTTATGACTTGGATCAGATGGACAAAAAGGTTGGTTTGTGGTTTGCAGTGTGTTCCATAAGACATGCTGACACAGAGAGGGATTCTGTGAGAATATCTCTTGGCAGATTTTTTTTTTTTTGGTGGTGAGACTTGCTTAAATAGCAGTGACAGTAAATCAGTCACAAGGCACTGCTTTTATCATGTGGCCCAAATGTTACTGCCTGTATTTAAATCTCTAGCGAGGAGCAGATCTTGGGAAATAAAGAGCATTCATGGGCAGTTTGTTAGAAGACAGATTATGACTTCCTTTCTGCTGCAGAGCTTTGCAGTGTGGCTGTTTGTGCATGTAGAAGTACCACTTCAGAAAAGTTTCACTTAGCTCAGCCACACTTTCTTAAGACAAAGGAAGAATAGTTTGTGTTACAGTGTTTAGGAAATGTTATTCCAGAATGAAAATGTGAAACATGGCATATTTAAAGTTAAAGTAGTGGATATTAAAGTTTACATTTTAAGTAAGTTTGTGATTTGTGTCTTCTAAGCTTGACAGTAGTTTCTATGTTTTTCTATTACAGGACCACAGCCACACTCCATGGATTGTGATTGTTGCCAAGTATCTAACAAAATGGTTCAACGAGGTATAATGCAAAACTGGACAAGTTATTAGCCTATTTCTATAGCTTTTATGTATTTCCACTTCTACAGAGTTGTCTGTTCTAAACTAGCTTATTGTTTTGGTAGTATGTAGCAAGATGGAATAATAAAAATATTACTAATTAAAATACAAATAAGTGTATGTGAACTTGGTCAGACTCGTGGAATTTAGCAGTCTGTATGCAATGAAGATATTAATTATCTTCATTAATTATAATAATAATAATTAATAATCTTTAATACAAATGTCTTGCTTTTAAATTTAGAAAAGTGATCAGTTGCCTAAAAGTTACAAAGAGAAAGAAGCCTTCAGACAGCTGATCCGGCAAGGTAATATATATCCTAGGAGTTGATTTTCTGTACTGTAGAAATGTGCAAGTTCTCTCAAGGTTAATTTATGGAAGCCTGCTGGTCTGTACAGTGTGATCTTTTTGCAACCTGTTTGCTTCAAACAGCTGAATCTTAAGATTCCCTGATTTGCTTACAAATACAGTTTAACAGTGTTTTTTACTGTTTAAGATCAAGAGTATACACTTCTTTTGATTTGGGTGGGAGGAGAGGCACTGAGAAAATCCTGCTGAAAATGTTGATATTAACATTGCAAATGTGAAGAAGAAAGTGGCTTTTGACATTGATTTTGCTACTGACTGAAAGCACTTTGTTGGTTGGCTGTCCAAATTGCTGGTAAGCATTGCAGTCCTAAATTACTGGTCAAGAGAGATTATGGAGCTACTGAATATACTGCAGTCCGTGAACAGGCTTCATTTACACAGGTGTTCCAGTCGAACATCTTCTGCAGATGATAAAATTAATGAGGCGTTTTTGACATCTAGAAATACATTGTCTTAAATGTTGGGAAATGGTGTTTCCTCACTTAAACATGACCTACGTGTAAGTTGTTGCTAAGAATGGTTCTGTCACTTTCATCTGTAGTGTCTGATTGATTAAATCAGTATTTTACTGGACTCTTATTAATTGAAATTGTTGTCTGGATTCATAAGTATTTACCTTTAAAAAAAAAACAAACAACAGGAAAAATAAGATCAGAGGGAGAGTTTAATATCTTATTGAATTTCTTTTTAAGCAGCATCTACCTTAGTTTTGTGATTATTAACTTAATTATTTTTCTTACAGAAATAATTGTTGTTCTTGTGGTAAATAACTTCTGTTTAACATCAGCACATGTATATGTGGTTAGTTCTGTCAGTATGTTTTGATGGATAATTTCATTTTCTGCTACTGAGGTTTTTATGCCTCATATACATACAATACCGATCTGCTCTGTTGGTGAGACAGAAATGATGTTATTTGGGATGTTGTGATGTGTGTTTTTTTTCTTCAATAAGGTATCTTAAAGAATGAAAGTGGGACTCCAGAAGATGAGGAAAACTTTGAAGAAGCTATAAAAAATGTGAACGCAGCATTAAATACTACAAAGGTGAAACAAATGTACACTAAATTTGAAGTAGTATGAAATGGCTTACTTTTTCAGAACATTCACTTTAGCACAGAGGTTCCATGTGCAACATGGATATGTAGGTAAAAGAGGATGAGTACAATTGTAAAATTGAAATGATGTGCAGTAGAATAGACCTGGACTAAGTGACTGTAGCTTATGCAAACTCTTAACTTGCTTGTTCTTGAAGGGAAGCTGCCCTCCTGATGACTTGAAGGAATAAGACAACAACCAGAGCTCATTGTTGTGTTCCTCTCAAACTTCTACAGCTTTAATCTGCAAAGGAGAATCCAAAAGGCAGACTGCTAATTATACAGAATTAGCAGTCGCTGGTGGGGATGATCTTTGATTTGAGTGTGGTGTTAGGATTCAGAAAGTGTTCCTTGAAGGTTGTGCTGTATCAAAGCTGCTGGCTACAGTATTTTTTCCAAAAAGAAGTGGAGGTTTGCAAAGGATTTCTGACTAAACAAATTCTGAGCTCATTGGAGTTGGATCACCTATGTGATGAATATTGAGGTGATTCAAGAGGGTAAGTCAAGTAAATACAAATTCACATGTTTTTTACAGATTCCAAAATGTATTGAAGAGATTTTCAATGATGATTGCTGCATAAATCTCACAGAACAGGTAATGAGTAATTAAAGGTTTGGTACATAAATGCAGAAAAAACACTATAAATAATGCTTAAAATGTAGATAACTTTCTTGTGCGTTTGCAGTCCCCTTCCTTCTGGATTCTGGTTCGAGCTGTAAAGGAATTTGTGGCAAATGAGGGGCAAGGATGCTTACCTGTCAGGGGCACAATTCCTGATATGATAGCAGACTCCAGTAAATTTATCAAATTACAAAATGTGTAAGTATCCTTTGTTTTGTGGTTGTATCATTTTAATAACAAGTCATGTCTATTTCATCTCTATTTCATTAGTTCAGATCTGTATTTAAGAAACAAACAAAAAACAGTGCGTCAAAGGTGAGAAGGGGATGAGAAAGCCTGCAGACTTGGTCTGTCTACTCCTATCTGCAGCTGCTCTTCTAAAATTTAATAGTATTACAAACAATGGGAATAAGAATGCTTTTTGCACTGATAGGTTTCTAGATTGGTTATACATGTAGTGTGTACATCAACAGTTCAGCTCTGACAAGCAGTTGTACAGAGAGGTAATAAGTACATGCATGGCCTTTAGGTAGCTCACTTGTATTTGTGGTGCCTTGTCTTGTCTTTGTAATATAAACCAAAAAGAAATGGTCTTCACTGTCAGGTCTAAGATCATAGTGTTATGCTGTTATTGTTGAGACTATTTTATTATTGACAGGTACCGTGAAAAAGCAAAGAGGGATATTGCTGCTGTGGGTAGCCATGCTGCTAAATTGTTACAGTCCCTAGGAAAGGTAACTACAAATATATGGCATTTCTAACAGGACATAAATATTTTTCTTTTGTTCTGTACAGCTCTAAGCCAAAAGAGACAGATAAGAGCTTAATTATATAATTCTTTGAAAGTGCCCAAGTAATTTCTAATGATGTTTATCTGTGGTTTGTTTTATCTATCACTTTCGGCCTAGTCTTATAAAATAAAACCAAAATACACAGATGTCTGCATTATTCACCGATCAAAGAACTTGTTTTACAAAAGCAAATAGTTATTTCACAACTAGTGTGTTAATGTCTCTGAAAACACAGCGTGTTTGGCCACTGTATGTACTGTGAGAAGTATATTCTCTGTTCTAGGCGCCCGAATCAATTTCGGAGAGAGAACTGAAATTACTTTGTGAGTATGCTTGGATTCCATTGCAGTGATTATAAAAGTAATGAAATATTCAGAAATGTTTGGATGATCATGGAGTTACTAAATGTTACCTCAATATTTGAGCTTTCCAAGTGTTTGCTGAGCATTTGCATCCCTCATCTTCAGTGGAGGTAATATGTTAGCGTGTTTCAGTAGTGAGTCTACTATCTATCTTTAAAACAGATGCAGTACTTCTCAGGTCCAAATGTCAGGCAGCAGGTTGCCTCTGCTTCCTGTGATTAAATACCTCATTGCTCATGTGCAGTACAAATGTTAGAGTGTGAGCTCTGTAAACTTCTTGTAGTCTGTAAAGATAAAACAGGGATGTAGGGAGGAGTAGGGAGGTGTACTGCTCATGGCAGTTCAGGTCATCTGTGTTGAGTATGCATGTGTGACCACACAGCAGCCTGAATCATCTTCCAACTGGAAAATTTTCCTGTAAGCATGCCAACAAGAGTATGCTGCAGTGATTGATCTTTTGCTATGCTTTTTGAGTTCTGGGTAGTAACTGCACATTGGGTTGGTTTGTTGCAGTAATGCTGGAGGAGAACCTTCTTACTGCTTATTCTCAATTCAGATTCTAACAGTACAGCTATATGTTAGATAGTGGAAAATAGAGAAACCATGTTTGTTTTCAGCATGGAAGAGGGCAGCGTGAACCTGATGGCTGTGGTGGGTAAATTACTATAAAGGAGATGCACGCACTGTGGGCTGTTACATTAACACAACAGTTATGTTTAGAATCCAGAACCAAATAAGCAAAAAAAGGTCTTAAGTGCTTGTAAATCATAGATGTAAATGTTCTCTAATACTTAGTAGTTTGAGCTACCAGAAGAAACAGAAGTGTCAATACAGTGATTAGTTTTACTCCTTGATTTTAACAAGTCAGAAATATGCATTCATAGATTCAGTAATTGTTGACATATTCAATAAGCAATGCTCTTCTTTTTGCACCTTCTGCTTAGGCAGCAACTCAGCTTTTCTTCGTGTAGTGAGATGTAGATCTCTGTCTGAAGAATATGGCTTAAACACTTTTAATAAGGATGAAATTAGTAAGTACTCCTTCTTGACACATACTTCAATTGCTTTTTCAACATGAGTGGTTTGGTGATCAAAGTGAATTATCTGTTACACATACTATTTCTTTATGCAGATTTATAATTTGCCATCCACTGGAATTGTTTTGTCAACTCCAGAATGTTGATTTAATTCTGATTTTTGAAAAGTTCAAAGATGACCTTACAGATCACTGTAGGTTTATTCTTTATTTCAAGTTTTGTTTATGATAGCACGTAAATAAAACACTGTTTCTTTAAAATTCTCTTTTCTGTGTATCCATTATTTCTGACTGAGCTGGAATGGTGCTTTTGCCTGACCAAAGATTTAGCAATAATTATCTCAGCCTTTCACAGTTTAGGTTTTCAATATGTAGATATAAATGAAATAGAAATGTAGTTACTTTATAACAATTCATTATATATTTTTGGAACCTGCATAAATTAAAAAAAAAAACTGGAAATTTTTTACATTAAAACTTGTTTTAGATGAAGGCCTTGCAAGTCCTCTAAGGCTTCTGGACAAAAAGTTACACACATGTATAAACTAAATGCATATGTAAGCTTTGCAGTATTCCTCATTTTGGTAAAAGCTCCTTGAATTAGATGATAGTATCTAATGCAATTTGAGAAGCAGTTATTGCTTAGGTTACTAAACTGTGTGTTAAAGACCTGTGTGTTCTATAATTAGACATTATTATTTGTGAAACATGCATTGCAAAGCCTGAAACTACAGCTTATGAGTATCCCAACTGACACAGCAGCTGGCAGTTAAAACATGAATATCTTCACTGAACAGAGTTTGTATCAAATATGAACAGCATGACTTTATCACATGAAATCTGTCGGCTGACCCATTTATATTCCCAGTGACAAGATTTTCAAGATTTCTGCTTACAACAGAAAATGTATCTAAGGGAAATACTTGATTTCGGGTAATTAAGACCCTGCCTTTTGCTTTGTAATACCACCTAACCACTTCTCTTGCTGTTTTCAGTTTCTAACATGGATAACCCAGACAGTGAAGTAGTGTTGTACTTGATGCTACGGGCTGTTGATAGATTTTATAAGCAGCATGGTAGATATCCAGGTATGTTTATACAAGCTACGTTAGTGCTTTTATAAATATAAAAGTCCAGTAGTTAATACAATACTAGGTAAAAACTCCATGTAAGGCACTTGTTGTTTTTGTATTAACGCAACTTTAATAATGCACAAATTATCTTTTTTGGGGGAGAAATTTAAATTGATACAACTGAAGTGGTTTATGAATTAATTTAGCTTCACAGCAATTTGTTACTATTAAGAGGAGCACCAAAAGAATGATTAAATGCTAGTCTACTATTGCTAATATTAGTTGGCTTCTTTTCTTTTTCTGAAAAATCTCTAGTTAAGCTGTGTTTTAACCCCAATAATTTTGAATATAGTATTATAGTTCTATGACGGAATGGTGAATTTATTTTCCAGGTGTCTACAACTATCAGGTAGAAGATGATATTGGAAAACTGAAGTCATGTCTTACTAGTTTCTTACAAGAGCACGGTTTGTCTGTAGTGGTGAAAGATGACTATGTTCATGAGTTGTAAGTATAATACCATAAGAGCCACCTTGTAAAACTGACCTGAAAATACTAACTGTTACTTTGCTGTCCAGTTGTCGCTATGGAGC